GACGCCTGTTGCTCAAATATAAACCTTACAGATATTAATAAAATATAATAACAATGATAATAAATTTATATAGCGCAGCTTTTATACAAACTTATTCAGCTGCGCTTGGTCAGAGATCCTAAATTCCGCGAGAGAATGAAGCTATTATTATAGTGAACGAAGCTGAAAGATACTTTATTAAGGGAAAAAAATAATCTTTTGTTATCGAAATACACAGGAATGATATAAAACGCCTCGCTGCTACAAAAAAGATGGGCATATTTGGGCACCTCACTAATGCAGAATAAAGTGACATTTGGAACATTGATATTTCAAAAATCGAGGGGCGTTGCAGCCCCAGCCACCACCTTTCTACTATACGCCCATGTCTGGTATTCTTAACTAGTATGCGACAAAATTAATGTTTAAGTAAAAACACAGCCAGTTCATTACCAATACATACAACCTTGGGCTCGTTATTTCCACTGCATTAAGCAGATGTAGGAGTGCATATCGATTTTCTACAGCATAACAGAAATTCCTTGATATGAATAACGATGCAGAAAAATATTGGAAACATGGTCGGGCAATCGAAAGGTTTGTTTAACTCACATAGACATGAATGACGATGGCTCGTATCTTAGTGGCGGATCCAGGGTTCTTTCACGGGGGGGGGGGGGGCACAGGTCTCTGAAAACAATCCACTGGTATAGGGAGGGGGTTGCACACTTGCACCCGTTTTGCCTCTGAACCTTCCATTACGTTATAATAATGAAATTACGTTACGTGCAAGGCATTTCCACGAGTGTCTTTAAACAAGTTGAAATGTACTTTCTGTATATATTATACGCAGAATAAAAAGGGCACATTAAAAATTGGAGGCCAATAATATGCCTTCTAACCGAAAGTATTGGGAACTGCCCTGCTAATACGCACATGCATCTGCTATCATGTTTATGCCACCTGGCCTAGAATGAAATTAATGTGTGATAACATGAACACAGTTCTCACATGAGAAAATTATTCAGGAATTATCATATCTGTTCTCCACCATTTAAACTCTGACTGTATTAATTATGAATATATTACACCATAACAAAATGATGCAGCCTACATAATTTATATGGCATATTTTGGCAGGGCCTTGTTTCTAAAATGGTAAAAAAAAACAATGAATGTCACTATGATACTTACTATTTTTCTATTTCGAAGCACGGTCCTTTTACTTCCACGCTAAATTTAATGGTCAACGAACATGAGTATGCAAACATGAAATGAAATGTATCCCAAACATACAAGAAAATGCACAAAAACACGAAATATAAATCCAGTGCTACTCGCAAAAAAAACACAACGCTATCTTCACCAGACAGCCAATGACTGGCCCGACAAAAAAAGAAGGCTGCCAGTTGAAATTGTGTTTCCGAATGTGATCGCTACCGTATCGATTGTAGATAGAATGATCGTCTGTGCTTCAGCGTCTGTACCTGTCGTCTGGTAATTAAGAGCGCATTCTCATTGATTGCTTATCCAAGCTATATACTCAACTAATTTGGTCGTTTGTCCAGATGTTTTGGCAATAATTCCACGCATGAGCGGCAGACCTGAACGACAGTCATGTTCATTATACGATGCCGATGGAGGAATTGCGGATAACGGGGGCCAGATACCAGTTACTTTTTCGATTTGTTTTTGTAATCATCTCAACTTCAAGTTGAGGCGTTTTCTCCCGGGGATCAACCTCATCTTGACAGCCTACATGTTTAAGTCATGGCAATATTCATTTCTTTCTCTCTCTCTCTCTTTGTGCATTTTCATCAGGGCTTGCCTTAAAAAAAACCCTCCACATGTCATCAACAATGGGCGTATCAATCCAACCCCCCCCCCCGAAATTGTAAAACGTAAAATAAACGTAGATCCCGCATAAATATTCAGTCGGCGAATTTTGGAGTGTGTCTACATAATTATAAGTTCTTTTCAATGACAAAATTCGAGTAAAGGGGTTAGAAAACTAATACATAATGCACCAACGATGGATATAATGCATTTGCTAGCCTGTTTTGCTCGCTCAAAAAAAAAGATGGAAAAGGAAAGTTGATATTCAGACAGAAGACGTCAGGTCCTTGGTGAATTCATAACCATGGTGACTATACAATCATGTACCCCGGTCATTGGATTTAATTGCTTTTCTGCATGTGATAGTGCACACGCTCCGCTCCGTGGGGAGTATTCCGGCCAGATGCCATTTTCAAGCGCAAACCGCATTAACGTTCTCATCCTACCGGGTATAATACTATTTAATACCTGGGTGGAGAGTGGCAAATGCACATAAATGTCTTGTCAATCGTGGCAAAGGGCACTATAGTGTCGTGCAGGGGCTTGAAACCCCCCCCCCCCTAAATAAGATCTGGCTATTTGTGTCAGTCGATATCAGTAGACTTCAACAATGATCACGGTCTGTAAACAAAAAAGATAAAAGAAGATACCCTTAATTAACATCAAACTATAACATAATCCTCTATCTCCCCCAAGTCTTTGGTGCAAAAAGAAACGAAAGGCTAACGGTTCGACAAAGACTTAAAATACGACCCAATGATCAACGACAAGTAAAATGTAAGAACAAGAAACGTGAACGCGGACCAGGCTAAAACGAAACCTAACGCATGACGGAATGTCATCAAAAACTAGCAAAACAAGAAATGCAATAGCCAAATAGCAGTTAAAGAATTAAAGACATAAGGCAAACTGTTCGAGTGTCAATGTCACATGTCATAGTCTGAGTTTTGCACGAAATGAATTAGGTTGGAGAGTTCAGACTCATTTCTAAAGCTTAATTTTCAAGAAATTCTATCACGAATTCCTGAGACTCTTCATGATTTTGAGTTTGACTAAATATCAGCTGCTGAAACAGGGACATGATTAGGGGTTCAACACGTTTGTGTGTTTGAGTTCGTTGATACCGTGATCATAAATAAGATCTGGCTATTTGTGTCAGTCGATATCAGTAGACTTCAACAATGATCACGGTCTGTAAACAAAAAAGATAAAAGAAGATACCCTTAATTAACATCAAACTATAACATAATCCTCTACCCCCACAACCTTCACATTCCAAGTCAAGTCAATAAAATGGGAAGAAGAACAAAATGCAGATAGATGATGTGAATGGCACAAGTGAACAAGGAATCATACACGCGAGTAAGATATATATAATGACGAAGAAAATGCGACTGAGTGATCGACTTGTTTAATTATTATGTCATTGTATTGATTTTTACATGAGAGCATGAGTATACATGATGAAAGCTATCGAATACAGAGCTCATTGTACCGTCGGATAGTGCTTTTTTCCGCAGTTTTATTCTTGAAAACGTTCTGTATCGGTCATTTTTTTTTACGTAAAAGCTCGCAAAAATAGATTTGTTGTTATTTATTTATCACCGTATGTAAAATAAACAAGCAGCATTTTGCTACTCTTTCCTATTATCAATTTTCTTATAGGGTGCTAACTCGTGTCTACGGTGTCTTTCAAAAAGGAGTTGTTGCCCTCCTGGCTCAACGCAGACAGTCTATAATAAAGAAATTTGAATATTGAAAGCAAAACTTCTTTGCTATAATATAAATTGGATCTTATCCCATGCATGCCTTTCGATTTATACAAGAGAAAACATAATTATCGTGTGTCTTGGTCACTGCAACAATTCCTATCTTCAAGCAGAATGAGCAAACTATATAAAATGGGTACCTTGCAATTTCGGCTTTTGCACTATAGTCTTCTTGATCTAATAATAATACGAATTAAGTTTCAATATAGCCGTATATCAAGAGTTGGTTTAGAGTTGGAGCGAAAATTAAGAGAAAATTGGGTTATTTCCCCATTCGGAGGCCGGCGGGTCAGCTTGATAGGACCTATAGGTGTGTTTGTAATAAAAATAAGTTTGCAATCGATTCTCAGTATTCAATGGAATTATATCAATCCCAATAAAATGAATTTGAGAGGCCATCCAAAATTAATCGGCGGGCCAAAAAAATAAATCTCCTTTGAGACTAATTGTCAGACTATATTTCAGAAGCAGAGTGAAATAAAATCAACACAAAACGCAGGTGTTGCGGCGTGATTTGACTCCGAATCAAGCAAGTCCATTTTCTTAGAGAAGGGGGGGGGGGGGGGGGGGGGGGGGGGGGGGGGGGGGGGGGGAGGGGTTGAGTCGGCTGACTAATAAATTTCCGGTTTATAAATTTTCTTTTCTTTTTCTTTATAAATTTCGCTAGGGAGCAACATAATTATACCGTTACAGTGACAACGTATTTCATTAATTGAAAATTTGAAATATACAAATAATATATATGAATAAGACTTGCTATGAAAGAGGCTCGATTTGGCTCAGTGGTACAGCAATAACCGGAAGGTCCGGTGTTCGAAACTAAGTCCATGCGCTATATATAGTGCCATTTGACACTAAAGGGACGCAAGTCCCTTGCGCTCGAAGAGGACCTGGTTGCTTACTTTTACAAACATCCATGATTTCTTAGCAGTCATGTAAAAACAAACAACCAAGTGAAGTGTCAACTGCATGCACGCCCGAAACATCCTAATCAGGATTAATACTAAACCACCAATAATATTGGTTGGGGGGCCGGGGGGGGGGGGGGCTGTCAGATTGTGAGAGAGATATTCAGTCGTTAGGCTGACATGTACAGGGTGTTCTCCTTTTTTTTTTCTTGTTCTGCTGCTGCTGCTTCTTTTTCTTCTTTCCGTAAAGTACAATCCCCGGTACAATCAACTCCGAGGAAAGAGGATTCCCCTAGGCCCTTCCTGCCTCCTCTTCCTCATCGCATCCTGACATTAAGTGTGATGAATGTGTGGAGGGCTGAGCCAGTAAATTCTCATTGTGTAAGTATTGGAACAATTTTTTTTTCATATCTGAAAATTTATTAAAGGCATACTTTAGGGTAAAATAAATGCAGAACAGATCAGAGATTAAAAGAAATATTATTAGATAAGTCTTGATCAAAGACTACATTTTATCGTCAGCGTCAACAATTGACGCTTTAGCTATCTGGAAGTCTGTGAAAGAACTGGCTTTTTATAGGGAGTTAATCAGAAACTTTCTGGAATGGCCTCTTTGTTTGATGAGAGCACCTTTACAGATACTGATGTAATCATCAAAGATGGAGATGATGTTATATTTAAGGAAGAAACTCTTGCCGAAGTGGAGCCACAACCTTACCTCAATACGAGTGAAGACAGCAACGGTACCGGTACGTAGCATTTTCTAGGCCGCCACACTCGGGAAGACATGATACTGATCTAGCCTGGCGCTGGCCCCGCTAGAGCTACAATAGAGATAACAAATGTGGGATGTGATGTAATGGGGTCAGATCAGATGTCCAGGCGCTTAACAAACACATTAATACAAAGCCTTCTCTCTTTTGCCTTCAGATTGAACAATGAGTATTAATAATAATAGGGAGTCCAATGCCTAAATCTAACTTTTTAATTACTAGAGATAGGTCTAGAGTCTAGATCTAGATTAGACCTATTATAAGAAAGCATTTTCTTTCAAACTCGCCCATCTGCCGACTCCAGAAGTTCCATAAAGTAAGAGATATCCGGCTATTTTCTAGGCCCTTCCTTCTACGCCTGGCCGTACGTACATGTAAGATCCTTGAAACAATCAATTTCATGTCCCCGAAAATTACGTCGAGAATTAGACGGGCCCGAGGGCAGTGGCGGATCCAGGGGGGCCCGAGCCCCCCCTTGCTTGAGAAAAAAATCATGTAAAATCACATGATTTTTACCTTTTTGGGGGGTTGGGCCCCCCCCCCCTGGCGCTCAAGGGGGGAGGTGCAAATTGAATTTTTTTTGAGGATCAAACAAACAAAAAATGTGCTCACTACCCCCCCCCCCCCCCCCCCCCCCCCCCCCACTGAGCGACTTTTCGGCCGGCGCGATTTTCAAATTTTCGGGAGCAAAAAAAAAAAAAAGTTGGGCCCCCTCCCCTAAGAAATCCTGGATCCGCGCCTGCCCGAGGGAATAGGCGTGTCATTGCCCCAACAACAAGTTCAAAACTTCGCGTGAAAGTACATTCATCATCCGGCTAGCCTTGAATCGGTCGCACACACCGAACCACTTCAACCAGGCAAGCCGCAATACAGGCTGAAGTTGAAATCGAACCAATGAATATAGGTACGACTACTACATCTACGAGTAAAAAAAGAAGGAAAGAACTAGATCTAATTCATTAATATTTACCTTAGATTGGTATTCCAATAACTTGATTTCCTCATGAGTATTCCTTATGATTTCAGTCGGAGATCTACTGTACAATCAACAAGAACGACCTCCATAATCCATGCAGCAGCTCACACTCACAGCGCTACACATGATACTACTACATATACATGCATATCGCACATCCGTACGTACTACGTATACGTAGTACCTGGATCTCTCTTTCTCTCTTTCTCTCTCTCTCTCTCTAAGCTGTACGCGACAACTAACCTTTTATCATGCACTCACAATCACATCGTCCAATCATATCTTTCCATCCTAACTTCTCAATTGGAGTATAGACTGCTCACGTAGACATTTTTTTACTGAAATATCTCTTTTAAACATTTTTCATATCTGACTTACTGTACGAGCTCGACACTCAAAGGGAAAGTCCACCCCCCAAAAAAGTTTGTTTCGATAGAGGCAGAATAATAAGAAAATCAGGTGAGTGAAAGTTTGAGCAAATTCTGAATGAAAATAAGAAAGTTATGAATTATTGAAGTTGTGATCAATCAAATACAAATTGGCAACTCCGTGACTTATCATACGAGCTCTCCTTCATTTGCTTTGTGCATAATATTCCATGAAATCATGTTTTCTTCGTTATTGATGACGGAATATATATTTGTTCCTTGCAGGGGGAGTATAGAAACATATTTGCAATTATTATATTTAGGGTGCATGTATGGTTGAAATTTTTCTTGAGGGAAAATGAAAATTTTAGATTTTTTTAGTACTGAGCAAATGGAAGTTGAGCTCCCATGATACGTCATAGAGTTGCCAATTTGTGTCTGATTGATCACAACTTCAAAAATCCTAACTTCCTTATTTTTAATCGGAATTTGCTCAAACTTTCACCGACTTGTTTCTCTCATTTTTCTACTCCTATTAAAACTAACTTAATTTCAGGGTGGACTTCCCCTTCAAGTCTCGTGCTGTGAGAATAAGGTACTGTGTGTGAGACTAGCCAAATTTGTTCGGTGGGCGTTCTGACCGGAGCTCATACATATTCATATTATGATGTCGCAATACCTCTATTTGGGGCTGGAACAATGACATCTCTGTTCACAGTTTTCCTTCTCAATTTGAGATGGCTGTAGCTATCAGCCTCAAACCAACGCAAGATTGACATAAACATCGTACTCTATCTACCTTCGAATGTGCAGTTTTTAAAAATCTGCATCTAAAAAGATATAATCTTTTTTCGTTATATTTTCTGTTTTTTTTTTTTTTTAAAGTGACATTTGTGCACATCTGATATGTTAATCTCTATCAAAAGTTCTTTCATTTAAAACGGATTCCATATTTTTAGGGTCTACCTTCTGCCATTGAGAAGGATTTTAGTGAGCTAACCTCCGCGCCCTCTAGGACCCATCTAGTTTCCCTTGTGTGCGCGTTTTGTTCGTCTGCTAACAGAATTATTGGATTCAAATACGTCAAAATCTGCAAGATCGTCAACAAATGGTGAAAGACCATTACAGATCCGTGATTATAGGTATGTTGTGGAGTGTACAATTGTGTATTTGTTATAGATTTTATTCCATAGATATTTGTTTTCTTTTTTTCCCCCTTTTTTTTCTTCTTCTGGTAATTTTCTGACTTGGACGACGAGGGCACAAATCATAGGCGTAGAAGCCTTACGCCCGGGCATTGGCCTCCCTAGTATTAATTAAACTGTGCTAATGATCATGAAGTTTTGTCCTTTATTAAATTGTCCAACATAGATCTAGCGCCTAGGGTCTAGAATTAACTTCATAACCCATACTAAGGCCATAGAGTCTAGACTCTAGAGGTCTAGGCCTACTCCATATAAGATTTCTGAAATATTGCTTGTTGTAAACTTCTTCAAATGGTGGTTTTTAATCACCTATCCGGACACACAACGTCTGGGTATACAGTGGAAACTTGATTATCATAAAGTTAAAGAGCTGTGATCATAATTTCATTAAGAGGTTCTTGATATAAATAAGGTAATTTTTCAGGACTCTTCTTTTTATAAAAAAAAATGTTAATCCTGAAATGATGAGATTCTCGGTATAATAAGGTAATTTGAAATGGTAAGGACCTCGCTATAGACAGTAGGCAGTTTCACAGCCTACAGTATTGAGGGCTTGCTTCTTGAGTACATTTTGAGACTAAAAGCTGTGACCCATCTCAAAAGCAAAACAATATAAAACATAAGAATGATCAGCAATGCTGTACATGGAAAATGAAGTGTGATGATGTAGTTTAATTTTTCAAAAACAGATACCTAACCTGTCATATAACCAGAAAAATTCAAAATAAAGGCAACAAGTGTGATCTTGTGTGCTCTTATCAGCTCGCAAACATTTGAAATTAGGCTTACCGGTATTAGGCCAATCCTCGCACGGTAGCCATTTATTTCCATACATAAGTTATTTTAAATACTAAATTTTGATTTACACTTACAGCTCAAAATTTTATTAAAATTTGTGTAAACTTGTAATTTGAAAAAGGCATTTTTTTGGAAAAAAAATCAAACAATTTAAATTGAAACTGTAAATGGCAGTTATTCACTTGAATGTTCACACTATTTTCTCCCATTTTGTACATCATTTTGCTCATTTTTTCATTCATTGTTTGTTTGTTGCATAACTTCACCTTGGGTTACACTATGACAGTGTTTGACCTCTCATTTTAAAGTATTTTAAAAGCACTTCCAGATTAACAAACATTGATATCATTAAAGGTAAAGACCAGTTATGGTCATGCGATTGCATTGTGAAAGAAACGTTGTGGAATCGATCAGAGAAGGTTGATCATCTAGCATCTAGCATCTGCAAGGTTCTGGAATCATCAAAATGATAAGAAATTTGGCCCATTCTTCGTAAAGTTACAAGCACTATACACAGAAAGATGTATATGTGACTACCCTATATCTCTCACAGACCATGAGAGAAACAAATTTACCAAATATATGAATTAGTAGGCGGTTTCCCGGCAATTTTTTTATCATCATGTATTAGTCAAAACATATTCTTTCACATGATTGATAATGAGAGCTTCCATTTCATTTTTTGAAATTGGGGCGTTTCCAATACTGGTCTTTACCTTTAACGTAACACACATGTAGTTATACATGTATATGTTACATTATTAACTTAGCGAGTTTCCAGTGACATTTTCCACTGTAGTCACTTATAGATTTAAGGATTAGGTGATAATATCTAATATGATATTGATATCACCTAGCCTTAATTTGCATCCATGTGCCTGTGTGAAGAGTGATGTAAACAAACCCTCTAACAGGTTCTCTTTCTCCTCTTTAACAGTGCAATCAGGTTTGTTTGCAACTTCCCTTGCATTCTAAATTTTGTTTGTGAGGAAGCTTGTCAAGTGTACCAAACGTTGAATTGTTTTTTGTTCCATTTTTTGCTCCATATATGGTCTGATGTTTTTGGAATTGACACTCCAACACTAGGCCTTTGTGAATCATTTGTTTAGCTTATGCCCTAAGCCTCTTATACCAGCAGGACTCAGACTCTACAAATACAATTATCAGTGCACTAGTGTTGTGGTAGTAGTAAAGTGTACTAGCCACAATTTGACTAGGATTTTTTTTCATTGCAAATATGTCGCCCTCCTTCTTATACTGTGCCCCCAAAACCTCCCAGAAATTAGGAAAGATCATTTATTGTTCCAGCCACGTACATGTAACGCCATCTTACCCACATATGTATGGTACTCTACAGAATAAGATCAACCCAGCCCCAGGGGAATTACAACCTCCCAATATGCCTGTTTTCATCAGCCCGCAGTTGCAATATATATAAAATTTGGTCGAAACTATCCAGAGAAATCTTGGTCTTGTTTCCAAAATATCCCGCTATTTAGGAAATTAAGGCTAATTTGTGCCCGTCTGAGCTAGTTTGTGCTGAGCGTATCGGTCTGGTGAAGACGCAATTTCGAGCTTCGGGATAATATCCCAAGTCTGAAAATAGCGGGTTATTTGGCAAACTCGAGCTGATGAAGACAGGCCTAATCTCATGCATATACAGGCAGTTGTCATTTCCAGTGTTACAACTGTTAAACCTACGTCGTATCACTGTTAGCCATGGTGATGGGATGAAAAGGGAAGTGCTGTATCTCTTAGTCTGTAATTATGCTCATGGCACCAAATTAAAGCCAGGCCCATACAAGCCCAAACACCCCTGTGGTGTGCACTCCAAAGCTGTAAGGTAGTCAAAGACAAGAAGAGCTGTAGCCTATGATTCACGTAATGTCTGGGACCATACTGACTGTATGGGTGTGTCATCCTCAATCTACGACAGGATTTACACAAATGCTGCATGGTCATGTGATAAATGTGATCAATTAAATGTCTCAATTTCATTATTGGATAGCTATATTAATGAAAGCCCAAACATTTTTGAAGCTTTTTCAATTATTTCTAACACAACAGGGCAACTCAATAGCCCACCATAATAGCCTTAACCTAGGCCCACCACTGAGTGCATCATTGTAAGCAAAGAAGCATCCCAAGAAGAAAAGAAAACCCAAACCGCTGAATTCCTAGCTGTCAATTTCGACAGTTTATGAAAGAACCCTGAGTGACGTGATATTAGCGCACTAAACTTTTGCACCCCATGTTTTGAATGCAGAGGTTGGTGCAGTATAGACAAGACTAGAAAAAATACTGACTCTGTTTTTATCTTTGTTCTTTCTGTTAATTGTTCTGTTTAGGTACCAAAGATCAGGAGTATACAGTCCAAGAAGCTGTGGACGCCATGGGCTTTGGATGGTTCCAGGTTAAGATTTCTTTCATCGTCGGCTTTAACTGGGTGCGTATCTAAATATTTGATGAATAAAAAATGATGATTTAAAAGTTTAACTTTAGAATATAGTGCCCCACGGATAGGGTACACGAATGTCCAACACCTAGGGTTAGGATTAGGGTTAGTGTTACCTAAAAACTTAAGTATTTAGATTTAGCTTAATTGGTAAAGCGTTGGTTAACCTCAAACGTCTGGTCAACCTCTGGTCGGGTGTTCTAAAGTTACTCCGATTTATACAGCATTTAACAAGTGCTGAACCATTTTAGTCAGAGTTATATGAATGCAGGCCAAGGCTCAAGATTTTCCCTTCCTGAAGAAGCCAGTTGATAGATAATATCTGCGCAAGGACAGATAAATTTTAAAATCCATCAAATCAGAATTCAGAAAACATGCTTATGAAAATAATGTTATTTATTATTCATTTATGCAGGAATGATGATACATTCTATGATACACTGGTGAAAGTCTTATTTTTGACAGGGAAATATAAGGAATTCATGAATCACCTCTATCACTCTTGCAGTGATTATTCTAAACTTCATATACAAAAAACCTGTAGCGGATATTGCTAGTGCTGATCTCGGGTCACCAGACATTCAGCAGCTACCAATTTGACATAGTATTACCGTAAATCTCTGTGTATAAGACGCACCTTTTTGCTGCCAAAAAAAGTCAAAGTCGGGTTGCGTCTTATACACAGGTACAATTTTTTTTTTATTTTTTTTTTTAAAGTTTCGATTTATGACCCTCCATCTGGCGCTATGCCTGGCAATGTCTCCCAGCTCAGTAATCGGTGTGTTGACTCACCACTCAGAAACTAGAACAACACTCAAATTTTTCTATCAACTTGGTTTGAAAGTAATCTTTCTGATAGATCTCAATATCTAGTTTATAATAATAATTCCTCCAATTTTTCTTCTATACACACGGCGTACCACAAGGTTCTATCTTAGGTCCTCTACTATTTTTTAATTTACATTAATGATCTTACACATTCAACTGCACCTCGAATTTAAATGAAAGTCCTTCCTGCGTGGGTTTTTTAACACGAACCTGGCTTGCTGCCGACAGAGTCTTGGCCCAAAAATAGGGGTGCGTCTTATACACAGAGATTTACGGTATGTAATATTATATGACTTTTCTATTCTATCAGATGGCAGATGCATTTGAAATCATGCTATTGAGTGTCCTCTCTGACAAGCTCCGATGTGAATGGGACCTGTATCCATATCAACAGGCCCTTCTCACGACCTTCGTCTTCACCGGGTACTTCATCGGGGCACCTCTCTGGGGGATGATGGGTGATAAGTTTGGACGGAAAAAGGTAGGACTTGTATCTTTTTGTTCAGGAAGTTTGTTTTGCCTTGGTCATTGAAGTGATTAGTTGATTAGTTTTTTAACTTATACTTTAATATGGATATCATCAAAATTGTAAAAATGTTGCAATTTGGCAACACCAGTTTTGATTGCAATATAGATGGTCATGGTCATTTCTAGAGGTACTTGGTACTTGATTGGGTAATCCCTTTGACAGCTCACTCAGGAAGCTATACTGGGATGGTAGGTGAGGCGAGTACCTACAACGAGTGTCGTGAATTGCTGGAATGGTGTGTGGACAAAGCATTGCTAATTTACAATAAAATATCCTAAGTCCAGTGCAAGTAAAAACCAAGCTAGTAAGCTTATATGATGTGAGAACCAACAATGGGGCTGCATCATTCTGGGAAGCAACAAAAATGATAACTATCTAGATGAGGTTCCAACTCTGACATGTCTGAATGTATGTACCTGACTGCTAAGAAAGCATGTATTGATGTTTATGCTTGTAAGCAAACAACCAGGGGACAAACAGCTTTAAGTCCTCTCCGAGGGACTTGGTAATGAAGATTAATGCCTCACCAAAGGGCACGGGCGCATCAAATTGGTTTCGAACCTGGGGCCTTCCCGTTTACTAGACCACTGCTCTACCATTGAGCCATCTCGCCTCCTCATTGTTATCATCTCTCCATCTTTCTTTTCCTCTTTACCGCCAGACTCTTGCTCTGTGTTCCTTCTACATCTTCTACTTTGGATTCCTGAGCTCCTTCTCACCCAACCTGATCTGGCTGCTCATCCTGAGAGGGCTTCTGGGTGCATCATTGGGCGGAACGTCTCAGTCGTAAGTCATTGGAATCCAGGGGAGTCTTCCACAAAGACTAAGATTGACTTTAAGTTGGACTTAACTATGGCAGGCCATTTATGCCACTAGTTGCTTTCACCATTGGTCTCTCAATTATGATCTTTAGATAATAATTTCCCCCTCAATAATGAACTATAAAAAAGTGTAAATTCTGTAGATTTGTGACCACGATTTGTACGCCCCTTGAGAAACCAATGCCAGGAATGGTTAGAGAAACTAGTGGCATGAACAGCCTGCCATAGTCAAGTCCAACTTATGCAAGGGTCACTCTGTGGCCTGGACCCACCCTCCTCAGAGGTCGCCAAATATCGACGTCGACTCGACGCCTAAGCCTGACCCTGACCTATTTGTTGTTGTAGTGAAGTCCTAACGTTCGTTTTTCTTCATTGGGTGAAGCATTACTATACAAATTGATGAAATGTGTGAAGCTTTGATGAGTAATTTGTTTTTTCTGGTGATGTGACATCGAATCCAATCGGTCGCCTTGTTTGTTCAGGTGATGTGACATCGAAGCCACTACCGGTCGCGTCGAAAATATGTCGAAATCATGTCGAAATCGTGCGTTTCAAAACAACTATTTAATTTTTATTCCGGTCACTCATGCACTCGCAGAGTGATCGTCCTGAGGTCACCGAACTTTTCTCCAGCGAAACTGATTTCGAGATTTCACGAGATCGTTTTCGAGTAGTCTACTAGTCTCCTACACATAACTAGTTGCGTGAGTATTCGCAGTATACGTGCCTGAAAGGCCAGCCTCAAGTCTGGAAACGAGACTAGTAGCCTACGAGCTGTCGGTATTGTACCCAGCATGCGCAGCGCAGATCGTGCCAAGTTTTGGCCCCAAGTTTTTGCGAGGTGAGTTGAAAAAAAATAGAAAGTTCAGAGTTTTCCGATCATTTTGAGACGGTACTACTCCGACCCTGTTTTACGATTGATTATTAACGAAATCTGCGCATAAAACTTAGCCTATATTTTCGCGAGATTTCAATGTTGACGTATTCCACAAAGGTATTACGCCACAGCAGTGCCGTGCGCTCGAGTCGAAGCCTTACGAATTCTGCGGATATGCACTGTATACTGTGTACGTTTGTGATGGTTTGTGATAGCTTGAACTATGCAAATGGCCAGTATGGTGAAACAGTGGTGAAGCTTCAGATCGGCCGAAAACTTACAAAAGTGAAGCCTCACCTATGGAAAACTGACACAAGTGAAGCCTCACCTATGTAAAACTGACAAAAGTGAAGCATCACCTATGCAAATAATTCAAAGGGTGAAGCCTGGACTAACACATTTGCTGATAAGAGTGATGCTTTGCCTTTGTTTTTTGTAAAGCACATGAAGTGATGGTGAAACCCTGAGGTTACAAATAATTGGCTCAGGTGAAGAAAGGTGATGACCTGAGGAGGGTGGGTCCAGGCCACAGAGTGACCCGTGCATTAGAGTTGATCTTAGTCTTTGTGAAACACCCCTGGGCATATTGTACCATTCAACAGTTTAGTTGTAAGTTAGGAACACATCCATTTATAAAAGCTTCTAGGTGCATCGTTAGGTGGAACGTCTCAGTCATGTCATTGGAATACAGGGCATATTGTAAGATTTAACAGTTTAGTCGTAAGTTAGGAACACATCCATGTATATTGTATAAAAGCTTCTGGTGCTGCGTTAGGTGGAACGTCTCAGTCGTAAGTTATGGGAATAAATTCATTATTTAGGAACAGATCTATACATTGTACCTAAAGGCTTCTGGATGCATCGTTAGGTGGAACGTCTCAGTCGTAAATCATCGGAATACATTGGTGTCTTGAGCTCCATCTCACCCAACCTGAGAGGGCTTTTAGGTGCATCATTGGGTAGAACGTCTCAGTCGTAAGTCATTGTAATACAGGGCATGTTGGAAAATTCAACAGTTTAGTCGTAAGTTAGGAACACATCCATATATAAAAGCTTCTGGATGCATCGTTAGGTGGAATATCTCAGTGGTAATTTATGGGAATAAATTCATAATTTAGGAACAGATCTATACCTAAAGGCTTCTAGGTGCATCGTTAGGTGCAACATCTCAGTTGTAAGTCATTGGAATACAGGGGATATTGTAAGATATAACATTTTAGTCATAGATTAGGGACAGATCCACATCCAAAGGTGGAAAATTTCTCTTGTACCCGATTAGTCATTTGAAAAAATGACCAACTCTTTTGGGGGTACATGTGTGAGTGCTTGGTTGGAATGTTTCGGTCATTATAAGTTAGTTTGTTTGACTATAGTGTATGTTTATGTATGTTTAATTAGAACATCTCACAAGGAGCTAATTGGAATTTGTGGTTGTGTCTGTCAAGTCAATCATAAAGACATGTAAATAGATGGATTTGACTGCACAAAGGACAGCCGAGTAAAAAAGTAGGAAAGATAGTCCGTATTTAGAGTTTGGGAAAAAGTGACATTATAAAATCATTTCATATTTGTTATTAATGGCAAGTATTACTGGAATGTGTCAATTCAATTATTTTGCATACACTATTGGGAGATGGACCACTCAAAAATTGGCCAGTGTTAGGGTCGAGGCAATGGTATTTATTCAGGCAGTATAAATTATCCGTCAACCGTGTTACTTTAGAACTTTTTTTCTTCCCACTACAGTGTGATTATTTGTGCAGAGTTTCTCCCGTCCAAGAGCAGAGGATTGTGTCTTGTATGTCTGGAGGTAAGAACAAAACTAAACAAACAACATTATACAGATGCCAAAATAATTTTATACATGTAAAGAATATTCTGATGCACTGCTCATTCATGGCTGCAAAATCATGAAAAACATGTTGTCATTTTAAAGAGGAATAAACATACTTTCTAATGTACTAAACAAAGCAATAAGCATCCCATGACAAGAGAGATATAATCGATCTAACTTGAATTTCCAAACTTTTTGAGAGGTATCTTTATCATCAATAACATCACATCCTTATTTTCTTTTTCATGATGGACGGCTGCAGGCGTTCTGGGTTATAGGTGTTTGCCTTGAGATCACCTTAGCTATGGTCGTCATGCCAACGCTAGGCTGGCGGTACCTTCTCATCTTCTCATCGTTCCCTCTAGTCATCTTTGTGGTTCTGGTCACAGTAAGGAAAAACAAAAATAAACAAACAGAAATTCAACTTTTTACAATATTTAAAGCCTTGTACAGATATAAAAGAGTAAACTACAGCAGTTTTTGTTTGTTTTGATGATGACCTAAAGTTTAATATGCTTCACATTGTGAGTGAATGTGCATAGGACTTTTGGTGCACATAGTTGCCATTCATTGTTAACGTGATGTTTTTTTGCAACATCTTTAATACCACGTCATATCTGAACAAGCTTTAAACTGTAAATGCTAAATGGAATGACAAGCATCCCACAGGATGATTCTGGTATTTGAGATGACAAATCCCATGTCACTGTTAATATGATAAAATGTACATTGTATTAGGAGTATGGGACATTTATTTGAATTTATTTGAATTTATTAACAACAACATAACACAATGTTACAAAATGTATTCAAGTGGGTAACAAAAATAACATGTTGTAAACATATCCATGTACATGGGTTACAAAGAAAAAAGAAAATATCTATAGTTGAACCACACAAATTAAGTTAATCATATATCATGTCATATCAAACCTGTGAATTAGCTATAACTTAATAATATGTAGAGATTTGTGGCTGGGATTGAAATTCACAGAATTCCAATAACGTTTAAGTGATTCAAATAAAGGATATTTTTAATCTTAAAAAGTAACTTAAAAATGTTGTTAAAGGGAGAACCAAAAGTTAGCACGAGTGCTAGTCGGGATTGGTTCTCCGAATATCTAAAACTGTATGCAAAGTCATATTAACACATATTTTTTCCTAATATCATATTATTTGATCCTTATGATTCATCTCTGCTAAGGAGTTTAATTTTGAGATTTTGACGAAATGATGATCTTGTTTTTTCTTCTCTTCTATTTATGGGCAAATTATTCCACAGCTTTGCTCCAATGAAAGAAATTGAAAAAGTCCCACATGTCTTACTACATTTAGGCAATCGTAGCATTAAATGTTCTCTCCCTCTTGTTCTATACATGTGATTCATTAAAACAAAGTAATCCATCAACGAATGTGGTAGATGTCCTTTTTGCAGATCATATACAAATGTCAGGAAACTTAACTGGTAGTTCCAAACTGTGTGAGTCTTTGCTCTTTAGTTAATGTGATTTCCAGCAAGTTTTGGTTAGGTTGTTTGATTTGCTGATCCAAACAATCCATCTACCGGTACTGCAATTCATAATTATTTTAAGCTATAACTTAACCTAAGATTTATTCATAATAATTTAAGTAATTTCAACATTGCTTATTCAGAATTACTCACAGGCCAGTTTCTCTCAAAATGCAATTTTATCACACAAGCATTTGTGATAATAATTAGAGTTCTTTCACCATATCTTGAACCCTGTACCAGTTTCTACCAGAGAGCGCGTCTTACCAGCAAGCATCGGGAAATTGGAGTGGTGCCATGGCAACCCTAGAAGACATCTCCAGGACAAACAAGAAACCACTGCCACCCGGAAAGCTGAAGAGAAATGCTGAACTTGTAAGTATTACTTTTTTATTTTTCATTCCAGATGTGTATGGAGACCACTCAAGGGGACCAGGGCCCCATTTCACAAAACTTGTCATCAGTGACAAGTGTTATAAGCTACTGAAATCCTTGCTTCTGATTGGTCATCAGCATATTTTTCACTGATTTTTGTCATTTGTCATTGAAAAAAGGCCTTGTGAAACGGGTCCCAGAAGAGTGGTCTTTCTTTTTCATATATTAAGTAGTCAATCATGCTTTTTTTTTAATCTTCATTTTTATGACCTAAGTATAATATTACATTTCTATATCTTGTATTACAGAGCTAAGTGAACATAAGTAGGACCTTTGTTGCGTTCAGTTTCCATTCATTTAAACATTACTCATTAAAAAAAAAAGCAGTTTACCGCTTCATATCTGAATCAACCGTATTAGGCTGGTGGCCTCTATATTCAATCAAGTTCCTATAAGAAGGTTACAATGAGAAAACTTTTCAATGGAAACAAAAATGTGGTCTTTGCAGTAGTTCTATACAGGTGGTCTCAAGAGATGTTTGACAGCATTTCACTCTCATATTTGTTATGCAGTGGCTGGTTCCGTAAATACAGACCTCGTTCTCCTAAAAACTCTTCTCAAATAACCATTTTATATAGGGATTTGGAACACAAAACACAATTGATTTTAGTCCTCGTATTCGCCAGGAATCAAAATGAAGTATATTTGATAAAGAAGCTAATTTGAGCCCTTCTTGTATTCACAGAAACCCAAAGGATCCATTCGAGAACTGTTTAGTACAAAGTTATTAGCTATGACTACCGTTATTCTGATCAATTTATGGTAAGTAGCAATTAAAAGTCAAATCACGGCATTAAAGGGGAAGTCCACCCTGATATTCAGTTGGTTTGAATAGAAGCAGAAACAAGAGAGAAACAGAGGTGACAATCTGTGTTTGATTGGTCTTTACTTTTGTTATATTTTTAATCAGGTTTTGCTAAAATGTTCACTGACCTGTTCCTTTAATTTTCTGCTTCTATCAAAACCTACTTGATATAAGGGTGGACTTTCCCTTTAATTTCTCTAGTAAATCGTTAGTTTAGTAAAGCTGTGGTTAAAAGCATATTCAACTGAATGAATCTCCTCTCCCTTTTTTAGAAATCTCTTCCCTCTCTCCCCCTCACTGTCCATGTACCTAACGCTTGAAGGACTGGGACAGCACAGATAGAATAAGAATCAAGAAGTCATTGCATTACAATTGAAGACAAAACATAGAACAACTTTTTTTTTCTGAAGTAGCCTGGGAAGGTGTCCAAATCAACACTGTAAAGAAGTTTTAGGCCATTAAAAAAAAAAGATGATTTTTAAAACCATGTTCATAACAAAACCATTCGTCTTCGTTGTCCTACGAGTCATGACTGACCCTATGTGACCCTATTGGTGATTTTGATCCAACCACTTCTAACCTGGGCATAGCAATGAGCTGTGCAGATTTTCCTGCAGGTAATCTCTTTTATTCCATCGGCCCAACGGACTGTTTGCCTACCACGTTTCTGTTTTTCTCAGTTTTTTTTCTCAGTTTCATATATAAAATATTACAAATTCATTAGTGAAAACATAATTTGTGGTTATTTTCAGGTTTTGTAATGCGTTCCTCTATTATGGGAATGTCCTTCTCTCTGCTGAGTTATTTTCGTCTGGGGTAACGTCATGTGTTTGTGAGTAAATGAAGTTTTTTGGCACCGGTGTTTCCTGTCTCTGGGTTTTTGGCTGTTTTTTCTTCTTCACAAAGGAGTTCCTTTCTTTAAAAAAACAACTTCATTTTAACTTAGTATGGTGATGGTAAAGAGCAAGGGAAGTATGGATAAATGTTGCATGTTATCAGGTAAAGGGTAAAAATATATTATAGATGTGTCATTTAATCTTTTAATTCATGCACTCGCCCATCCATCCCTTTACATTTCAGTCACTTATACTAACTTCTGTTTATTTCATTTTCTATTGATCTCAATTTATCCATCTATCATCCATTCATCATCACTCAAGCCTTCCAACATCCAACCATTGATGTTTAGAGATTTTCTTCACCCATATGTACATCTAGTTATCAAATTACACAGTCTTTTATAATGTCTTAACTTTATATTTACCAGTATATCAAAAATAACTTTTTTTAAAGACCGTCACCACTACTGGGCCAGAAGAGATTAGACCACAAAGAGAGCCATCGAGGTCACTGTGACAGGTGGCTATCTCATTAACTCAGCTCTCATTTAACATAAGAAAAAGAGGATCATGGGGGACCAACAGGCACCGATTGGGGAAGTTTTCTATATAGAGGGAGCAAGTAGCTACAAGTATGGCAGTGTGCCTTTAAAAGGATCAATTGAAAAGAAATGTGTTGAATGACTCTTTCTTTACCCATCTTTCTTTTCTTCCCACTCTTCATTATTGCTATGAAAAATCATAAATATGAAAAGAATATATATTGATGGATCTATCTGAGAAGTAAAACACTTTTTTTAACTAGGTAGTTACCAAATTGAGGATTTTTAAAAACAAATTCTTTTAATTTGATGAATTCTTAGTTGCCGAATTCTGGATTTGTTTCCACTCAAATGCAACTCATGCGAATGAAACAAAAATGGACTTTGTGTAAACAAATTATTATTGTTCTTTCTACTAATGTGTCTGGTACAATTTTTGTTTGTACTTAATCAAAAGATATTGATTCACCCACATATTTGTGGTGAGCAGATTAAGAAGTTTTATTAAGCCTCTGTCCTCTTCTTATCTCATCTATCTAATAATTGTAATTATTGTTCTTTGTGCTAATGTGTCTAGTGTACATTTTGGGGTTCTTAATCAAAAGATATCGAGCCACCCCCAACTCCAAATGTTCACATTTGTCATGAGCAGGTTAAGAAGTTGTCATGAACCTCTGTCTTTTTCTTTTCTCATCTAGCTAATAATTCTAATTATTGTTCTTTCTGCTAAAGTGTCTGGTATGCATATTTTTGGTTCTTATCAAAAGATATCGAGCCATCCCCAATTTGTGGTGAACGGGTTAAGAAGTTTTAATGAACCTCTGTTCTTTCTTTTCTCATCTAGCTACCGGTAATAATTCTACAACAGAACTGGAATGCTTTTCTGCTTGTAAGTCTCTTGATACACAGGGATATGTCGGCCTTCTTGTATCATCGTTGGGCGAAATTCCAGGTAATTAAAGAGAGTTAAACCAGCTTTTTAGTACATGTGTAGTATCAGTTTGAAATAAATACTGTTGATACTGAAAGAGTGACTAAATTCTTTGTAATGGCTGACTGAATGTTTTTTAAAGTCCTGTTTAGTACATGTGTAGTATTGTTTTGAAATACATACTGTTTATAATGATAAAGTGATTTAATTCTTATTTTAATGGCTGAATGAATTTTTTTTTAAAGTCTCCATCTGTAAGGCCTAATAATATAAATTTGACTATTTATATGACTTTTCAGTTACCTCTGTAGATTTTATAAAGTAATCATGATGTCTCATTTTAATCCAATACAATGCAAATGATTAAAGAAGGATCAAACAGTAGTTGGCTTCACCCATTTTAATATCTATCCTGTATTATTTCAAAACTGAGGAGCAAAGCAATAGCACCCTGATTTAACTTGATTGTAAAAGCTTTCAAGAAATCTCCTCTGGACCCATTTCATTAGCCTTTTCCATTGCCCATTGAAATTCTGTAATGTTTACTGAACAATCATCTCTTCTGTATTAAACCTGAATTTATTTTTTACAGGCAATCTAGTGATAGATAAGAATAGTCACAATGTGAATTATAAAAGGATTTTGCAATTGATGTGAATTTGAATTTGAATTTATTGGTTTTGATATCAATTTTGTTCAAACACACACTGCATGTTTCCGTGTGCATGAATGTAAATGTTTACATTAAATAAGTAGGAAAATAAAGTTAACATTCTGGATCCATAGATTAGATACAGGAGGGCTACGGCATCGGCCTGCAGCTTGATTTTCTTACAGCCCTCTGTTGTAACTAGGAATATAAATACGAAGGGGGGGGGGGGGGGGAGCAACTTGCAAAGAACAAGAAAGAAAGGAGGGGGAAAGAGTGCTGGTTTTTAGAAATAGTAATCACGCCTGTTGATATAGTAGGATACAGGTAATGGGAAGAATATCCAATATCCATTAATCAAATAAATTCTGAGAATCTAAATCCACATATTTACAATTAATTCAAATATTTTGCCGGGAAAGCCAGATATTTAAAATAATAATTTTATCAAATTTTGGAGTTATATAATAATTATTGTTGATGTAAGTGAAAAGGTAATGATATCAGGTTATGGACGATAATTATTTTGTTTTCTTTGCAGGTATTCTTTTGACCCTGTTTATGATTGATACTGCGGGTAGGAAACTGACCATGGGGCTTGAGATGCTGGTCTGTGCTGTCTTCTCATTTCTGCTTCTGATGTGTGTTGACGGGTGAGTGGAAATACGGGTCTTAAAAATCAAATAGTTTGTTGATTTTTTGAATCATCATAGCATAGTTCATAAACAAATATATTTGTGATGTTTTTTGTGTGTGTACATTTATCACCTTTAAAGGTAAAGACCAGTATTGGAAACGCCCCAATTTCAAAAAATGAAATGGAAGCTGTTATTACCAATCATGTGAAAGAATATGTTTTGACTAATACATGATAATACAAAAATTTGCCGGGAAACCACCTACTAATTCATATATTTGGTAAATTTGTTTCTCTCATGGTCTGTGAGAGATATAGGGTAGTCCCATATACATCTTTCTGTGTATAGTGCTTGTAACTTTACGAAGAATGGGCCAAATTTCTTATCATTTTGATGATTCCAGAACCTTGCAGATGCTAGATGCTAGATGATCAACCTTTTCTGATCGATTCCACAACGTTTATTTCACAATGCAATCGCATGACCATAACTGGTCTTTACCTTTAAGAGAAGGTTGTCAAGTTCTGGTGAGAGGTGAAAAATAATTTGTGAGCATTATTGTTATTCTACAAGTTTGGAAGAACATCAGAGAAAAAATGTTCCCTGAAAAGCATGGCTCTTCAAATTCCTTCATATTCTAAATATGACAAGTAACAGCTTAAAAAATGAGGCCCGATTTTTATGCCACATGTTTGTGTAGTCCCATATACATCTTTCTGTGTACAGTGTTTATTACTTTACCAAGACTGGGCCAATTTTCTTATCATTTTGATGACTCCAGAACCTTGCTGTACACACCAATACTTATGTGCTACATGATCAAATTTTTCTGATCGATTCCACACCGTTTCTTTCACAATGCAATCGCATGACCGGAACTCAACTTTGTCTTTAAGTTTTACTCTGTGCTTCCACTGTGGCTACTGTTAAAAACACAAGAGTGCCTTTCAAGGAATAAATTCTACAAATACCCATCTACATGTACTCCACCTAGGTTGGTAATGGTATTACAAAAGGAACATTATTTAATTCCGTTGAGGTTGATTTCCACTTAGAATCTAAAAGAATTTAAATCAAATCAAATTCAATTTGTTAATGTGGTTGCCAACGCCTGTCAAGATCAGTCATATGGGGAAGCTGTTTCAAAGCCAATCCACTGTGCTATCATCAAGGTCTTTCAAGCCTTCAAAACCATTGGGGCCTGGTGAATGTTGCAATCTAAAGACTAAATGATCAAATTGATCACATGAAACAAATTAATCTAGGCCGCAAATAAATTCGGATACCAAACACTTTTATGTAGCCTTCATTATTAAAAGAAAAAGCCGATTTGAAGTGGCATACCACATGAATGAAATAATAATAATAATATTCTGTTTTTGTATAGCGCTCAATACATCGATCCAACGATGTGCCTAAGCACTTTACAGATATGTTATTAACCCGGTCGTCGGATTCAGGCTAACCCGCACACAATGTGTGCACATTTTCCACTCCCTGGGGATCATTCCATCCAGTCGCCATTTTACACGGGCACACTTGCTCGTCCAACCACATGAACTTTCGCATCCTACCGGGTACCCATTTAACACCTGGGTGGAGAGTAGCAAGTTCAGGTTAATATCTTGCCAAAGGATATTAGTGTCGTGTCGGGATTCAAAACCTTGACCTTTGCATCTCCAGTCAAGCGCCTTAAACCACTCAACCATCACACTCCCACTACCGGTACATTTAAATGTTCTCACCTTTGGTTATCTTGTGCAGAATTCCCCAGATGATCTTTATCTTTGTTATTCGAGGAATGATTTCCGGAGCATTCCAGGCCTTGTATGTCTACACACCAGAGGTAAGAATAGTTTCTCTATTTTATTTCTTTTTATAGCCTATACCCCCCCCCCCCCCCCCCAAAAAAAAAAAAAAAAAAAAACCTGTAAAACTAGGGGTTAGTTTGACTTTACTCTGCTTCATGACTATGCATGTAATTGATATTGTTTGATGATTATAGTTTTACCTGACTGCTTAAAGAAAGCATGTAAATGCTTGAAAGTAAACGACCAGGGGACCTACGGCTTGAAGTCTTGTCTGTTCTACCACTGAGCCATTGTTTATTGCCCTGTGAAGAAGTAGTATGGTTTTACTAAATACTTTGATGATTTTATTGTGGACATGTCTTAGTGAGACCCTGTTTTCTAAAGATGGCATGTAAAAACCTGTGTGTGCCTGATTTTGATGAATCTTTGGAAATCTGCTAGGGTTTTTATTTATCCATTTTTTTTCTCGGTTCCCTCATTGAAGTATTCAAAATGAGAAAAATTATGTAAGTTTATTTTGTTTAAAGGTAAAGACCAGTTATGGTCATGCGATTGCATTGTAAAAGAAACGTTGTGGAATCGATCAGAAAAGGTTGATCATCTAGCATCTAGCATCTGCAAGGTTCTGGAATCATCAAAATGATAAGAAATTTGGCCCATTCTTCGTAAAGTTACAAGCACTATACACAGAAAGATGTATATGGGACTACCCTATATCTCTCACAGACCATGAGAGAAACAAATTTACCAAATATATGAATTAGTAGGCGGTTTCCTGGCAAATTTTTTATTATCATGTATTAGTCAAAACATATTCTTTCACATGATTGGTAATGAGAGCTTCCATTTCATTTTTTGAATAATACTGGTCTTTACCTTTAACTCTTCAACTTTTACCAACAGTGTGTATTATTTTTGAACCCTTACCAACTGTGTGTATTATTTTTGAACTTTTACCAACAGTGTGTATTACTTTTGAAAGGAATCATTCTTGACTTTGTTTGGTATTTGTTAGGTCTTCCCTACCAATGTGAGATCAGTCGGCCTGGGGTGGTGTGTAGCTTTCTCAAAACTGGGTTCCATTGTGACCCCTTTCGTAGCTCAGGTAGGTGCCATACATGGCCTTCTAGGACTCTTTCTTATGCCTTATTTGTGCTTATATGAAGAAGAAAATAAAATCATTAAAATTATGAATATTAGCATTGGATTCATAGAGAGAGAGGGTCTTGTATTTATTATGAATTAAATACTGGAATGGAATATATCCAGTAATTGGGTAGAGGTGTCATTGTCGAGTGGTTTGTTGAACACTTGACTGAAGATGTGGGGTCGTGGGTTCAAGCCCCCGGTGTGGCCTTGGCAAGACATGGTGGATACGTGTGCTATAAAAATGTCAATATAGATACTATTATATTATTATAATACAAGAAAATACAAAAATTTCACTGTCATTATCCTAAAAAGAATTTATTGCATATGAGAGTAACTTCTTCAACAGGATTTGTTACTTTTTCACCAACAATTGAAACAAATTTACAATGTTTATAGATGAAAATTGAAGTGAAATGGGAAGAGGAAAAGGAATGCCTTTGATTGTAAAAAAATGTGATTCATTCACTGACGTTTTAAAGAGTGTAGTGGGTATTTCTAAAGTCGAATCGTTTTGACATAGATATTCAAAGCTTTAAATTATGGTATTCTGTCAATAAAATGAGTGCAGGTATATATGTGTCATAGTGCAAAATGCAAATTGTTACAAAATTGTGTTCTATTCATTAACAAGAGAATAATTCCAGTTCATTATTTTTTTCTCCTTATCTTGTTTCTCTTTTATATTCACCTACCTAGGTTTTGATCAAGCAATCTGTGTTCATGACATTTTGTGTGTATGGTGGCTGCGCGGTCTTCGCTAGCCTGTTAGCTTTCATCCTCCCCGTAGAAACAAAAGGACGCACCCTCAAGTAGATGATGGAGATGGTTCCGCTGGGATGAGAAATAGTCATGGCTCCACCTCCATGGCTCCACCTCCTCCTATTGGAGAAGAAAGAACCTTGAAAGAAATACCTCATTTAGGACTAGTGAAAACAAAATCATTGACCAGGTCTTGATCAAGCAATCAGTTGTAATGACATTTTGTGTGTACGGTGCTTTCACAGTCTTGGCCAGTCCATAGACACAAAAGGATGCATCCTTTATTAGATGATGGAGGTGGCTCTACCTCCTCCTATAAGGGAAGAGAAAAGAATCCTGATAAATGACCTTTTCGGGCTTGTGAACAAATATTATTGGCTAGGTTTTGATAAAACAATTAGTGGTTATGACATTATGTGTATACAGGACTTGGGTAGAGAACATAAATAATCGTGGCTCCACCTCCTTGTATAAGGGAAGAAAAAAAAAACGGGATAAACGACTTTTTCTGACTTGTGAACAAATATTATTGGTTAGATTTTGATAAAACAACTATAGTGGTTATGGCATTATGTGTATACGACACTCGGGCAGAGAACATAGTCATAGAGAAATAATTGTGGCTCCAACTTCTTGTATAAGGGAAGAAAAAAAGAATCCTGATAAATGACTTTTTCTGACTTTTGATAAAAAATTATTGGCTAGGATTTGATCAAAACAATTAGTGGTTATTATGGCATTATGTGTATACAGCGGCTTCACTGACCTGGCTAGTGTGGTGTCTTTCATTAAGAGCAGCTACCGGATTTCAGTCCTTCTTTCAAAAATAAAAAGTATAATGATTTAAAGATCAGTTAGACTTCACAAATATGGTGTGAATTTCACAGATATATTTGTCTTGGAGCTCTGTGGAATTACTTTCATATGTAGGTAAGTACGCGATGTGAACTTTGTAAGTATCGGACTAAGAAGGTCAACAATCTTTATTACATTTGCAAATTGTTTGTTGCTGCAAGAAAGTATTTTTACATATTTTTACAAAGCTAGCAGTCGTTGGATACTTTATTTGTATTATATGTTAGTTTTAATTATTTAAATGGTGTAGTAATTGTGTGCTATTTAGAGGTCCATTGTTGGAGTTTTTCATTGCATATATTTTTGAGGTTGCAATTAGAAGGTCAAAAGTCTTAGAAGGTCAAATATCATCTTTATTATTTTTGCAAATTTTTTGTTGCTGCAAGAAAGTATTTTTACAAAGTAAGTTGTCATTGGGATATTTTGTCTGTACTATATGTTAGTTGTAAATGGCTAAATACTTGTGTGCTATTTAGAAGTCCATTGTTGGATTTTCGAAGTGCTACATTTTTAGGTCAGATTTTAATGGTCAAAATTATTGAAGAATACTTCCGGTACGCAACCTGCTTTGCCGCAACAGCAACTAAGAACTGTGCAGGCCATAGATGTTGCAGATTGCAACAAAAAAATTCATATGGACCAAAAATTAATGGTGAAGAATGTGGGTGAGCAATGTTTCTATACAGTTTTAAAGAAGAAGATATTTAAGTAAGGCAATATTTCTTTATTTTATTCATATTTATCAATTGTAGGTATATATATTTTTTGAAGAAATACATATATATATTTGATACATTATAACTGGATATTTTGACATGTGTATACTTTCATTTTGAAATCATATTTTCTGCTACGTTGCGAAGGCTGAAATTGAAAGGCTGAAACATAAGCTGTTTTACCAGGAAGAAATGTCAAGATGTTTATGGGCTTGAATTGTATGTTATTATACTAATTAACAGGGTAACTAACACGTATGTTGTATTGTTTAATTTGAAACACATTCTGCAAGGTAATTGGAATACTCTACTGCTCTCAACTGTTGGTGCTTTTATTTGACATGAATTTTAACATTAACTTGATACATGTACCAACTAATTACTGCCTTTTAGTTAAACTAAAATAAGATATCTTTTCAAAGGTACATATGTCTTTCATGTAATGCTGCCTACATCATATTAATTGATGTCATTTATGTGTATCTTTCTTGTCATTGTAATCATGTATTTATTTATTTCAAATACAGTTCTTAAAGCATGGGAGCTAGTTATTTCATGGTTGTAAAAGCGCATGATACATTGAGAGAAAAAAGCGAAGAAAATAAAAACATGACTACTTGCTGAAGGGTAGAAAACAGGGGACAATGTTTTGTTAAAAAAAAATTATTCAGAAAGAGTTCCCAGAAAATAGAAATACTTCAAGGGATTGTGGTGAAGAAAGGGAGAGACGAAGGGAGTAAGAAAGGGAGAGAGAGAGAGAGAGAGAGAGAGAGAGAGAGAAGAGAGGGAGCAAGATGTTTTAAGAGTATACTTTTTATTTTGTGTGTACTGCTGCAAATACATTTTGAGAAAGAAGTTTTACAATTCTTTTTGTAATCAATTTATATCCTGTAACATATTAGAAAGATGGCAAAGGGATGGAAATACAGATTCTGTTCCATAAATCATGTTTCTTAGAATGGGGTGCTGGTACTTGTTAGAAAAAGAAAGAGTGTGTCAGGTTTAAAGAGAGACTCGGAGGAAGAGAGAGAGAGAGAGGAGAAGAGGGAGAGAGAGAGTTAGAGAGAGAGAGAGAGAGAGAGAGAAGAGAGGGAGCAAGAAAGGGAGAGAGGAGACAAAGGGAGTAAGAATGAGGGAGAAAGAGAGAGGGGGGGGGGGGGGGAGGGGGAGGGGAGAGGTGGTATGTTGGGAAGAGAGAATTGAGAATGACAGTGAAAGATAAGTTAAAGACAAAAGGGGGGAAGAGAGGAAAAAGAAGGATAGAAAGAAAGAAATGGGAAAGAACTGAGAGGAGATGACTGGGAACAATAGTAAGGCTGTCACTGGAAGGATGAAGTTGGATTCCCCCCTTCTGTAACAAAGTGAAATAGATCTTCAAGAAAAATTATAAATAAAGATATTTCATTTTTTATCATGATATAACAAGCAGGAGAAAAGTTTATCAGAATTTCAATAATCATATGTGATCCCATGGCCTGTTATCTTGTGACAACTTTTCAGGGTAAAACGGTGTTATCAATCTCCCGAGATGCAAGAACGAGTATGGTATTCAAGCATACATTGTGGGCAAGCGCCATCTCTTGATTAGAAAGAGAGAAGCGCATTGGAACCCATTGTCGTCTGTATCTTGAATTTTTCCGGTTTGTAAGCTCACAGTTTACGCTTATTTTCCATCTTCCTTTGATTTGAGCTAATTTTGTGTGTGATGAAAAGCGTGGTGTATTTCAAAGTTGCATATTTTCTAATATTTATGAATTTCCATTCGTTAAAACGGTTTCCCTTCTGTGAAAGTGAATGAAGAATTTAGTGTCCCCATTCATATAATTTTGTGTTGGACTTTGTGACTTGATTATGCAATATGCCACCTGTTTGTTCCATTTTTGTCTTTCTTCAATATTTTCCCATTCGCATTGCTGCTGTCCATTCTTTCCTGAAAATTTGTTACGGTGAATCATAGAAGAAGGCATAGATCCATTCTGATTTTGGGTACAGTCCCTGAACTTTTTGCTCTGTGAAATTGAGTTTCAAGTTGAGAAGGAGATGAGTTATTTTAATTCGATGGAAGAGAGAAAGCTAATATTCCGTGCATAATAACCAAATAATGAGAGACAATTTCCTAGTGATCTACGTTTATATGCATGTTCGGAGTAACAGTAGAATACCCCACTCCAAATTAGACAAGACTATTGTAGGTTAATCAATGCTTCACCAAAACCCTATGTGGAAGGATAAAGACAAGCTAAAGCTGCTAAGTTTGAAAATTACTGACTAATATGACAGATAATTTGACATTGTTATTTTTGGTTGATATTTATTCTGTAAACAATCAATTACCAGCTTGAATGCCATTTTGTGTTTTTTCTTTTCTTCTAGGTTCCAATTTTTTGTTGCCTTGTTGAAGGCAAGACAGAGGTATTTTGGTGCCGACAATTAGTGAGTATCATCAGTGTTTGCGCACCAAAACTAACAACAGTTTTATCACCTGCACTGTTTTCATTCCTTGACTAGCTTTTGTTTTGGTACTGCCACTGCTTTGTTTCGTTAGTGCATGCTGACTGTCTGTTGTTTTCTGCATGAACTCTACTTTGTTTCTTTTGTGAGAATTTATGACTTGTCAAAGGAAAGATACGGAAATGAATATGCAGTTATCTTAATTCATCTTGCGTACATCAAATAATCAAGTTACTGCCATCTGCTATTTAAATGGCCCTACCACCAGTACAGTTTTTTGTGTCATGTGAACTTTGGATGTTTGAACGTCTGTTGGTTTCAAGAGATATAGAAATCCATCAAAATTTAATCTTCAGCTTGAAGTTAAGCGACCTCCAAAACGGGATGTCTGACAGTGCGGGAACCTCAGACCATACATCTATAAAGATAGACCATATGGACCATCTCGTCTTGACCGTGAAAGATGTTGCTCGAACCGTCGACTTCTACGCCAGAGTTCTTGGAATGACGGAGATCACGTTCAAAGAGACCCGCAAGGCGCTCAGATTCGGGAACCAGAAAATCAACCTCCACGAGGCTGGCAAGGAGTTTGAGCCGAAGGCGGCCCACCCCACCCCTGGATCTGCCGATCTGTGCTTCATCGCCGACACACCACTGGAGGATGTGATAGCGCATTTAAAGGCATGCGAGGTGAACGTTGAAGAAGGTCCGGTGGTGCGGACGGGAGCGATGGGCCCCATTAACTCAGTCTACTTTAGAGATCCAGACACGAACTTGATTGAAGTCTCCAACTATGTTTAAGTTTTCCCCCAACCATGCATTAACAAAAACTGACTAGGTCTGGTTGACTTGGTTGTGTTCTAAGTTTAATTTTTTCTAACATTATTTTCTTGTTTTCATAATGGCATTTACCTTTTAAAGTTTTCATTTTGTATTAGATCTTCTTTTTTTTCTTCACTTAAAGTATAAAATTAACAAGGACATTGATGACTGTTAATTAGAAAATTCTTTACAAACTGGCAGAACTGATGTTATTCTATTTGTTGCTTTTGTGAGTTTTGTCTAACATGATACAAGAACACACTTCAACAAAATAAATGAATACATGCTCAGAAAGCAAAATTGGTTAATAATTGTTAGAATAGAATGTAGAATAGCCTAAAAAAAAGATTCATAAAGGTTATACCAACAGTTAAAAAAGGTTAAGATTTATCAGATGTACAATGATCCGTCACTATTTGTCCTTACACTGAGCTCTTGTGCCATTGCTCTGTATATAACTCTGGAGCTATTATGAGCTGGAGATCCCAATCATAAACAGACTGAAACATATGAGGGCAGTAGTCTGCAGGATCTAGTAAGGACTGTAGGAATATTAAGTTTCTATCGACTTCACGGCAAATTGAGTCTGATTGCCTACATGTGTAGCTGAGATTTGGTACTTCACAAATTTCATTTATTTTTAGAGCATGATTCAATAGTAGCATAGTTTTAGCATACTTTCATAGGTTTGTAGCATAATTATACTTTTTTCTCATGATTTACACTTTAGCATGGCTGTATATAATTACTTTAGAAACAGTTTTGGAAGTATTGAGATAACTTATATTCATATACAAAAATATAATATTTAGACTACAAATACATGACATTTTTGACTCGCAAAATAAATTAGGAAAGAGAGAGAGAGAGAGAGAGAGAGAGAGAGAAAATAGAGAAAGAGAGAGAATCTTTCAGTTTCGAGAACATGGTCATATCATACCCTTAGTTTGCTCAGAACAAAGATGGTAATTTAAAGAGGTTCTCTTTTGTGGAAAATTAAAGAATAAAGCCTTTTTCTAGAGCTTTAGTTCTAGAGCTAAGTTTTAACATGTAGTTAGTTATTCATGACACATTTAGACTTATTAGTTTTGTGGGGGAAAAACGGAAGGCAAACTGTGTTTCCAGTTCAGCTCTGTAAAAGACCTGCTTGCATGAACATATTACTTATCATGTCTTTGTTATCGATGCATAACAAAATTTGCTCCGTCAGTTAGTTAGCTTTCAATGATCTAATGTTATCAGTGTGCTGGGGTCTCTCTGGTTCCCTGTGTTTGCCTGGCCCTTTCTCTCTGTGGCGGCTTGAAAATTTATCAAATTATTTCATCTTTTATGCAAATATGACTTATTAATCAAGCCTCCCGCGCATTGACACTCAAGTAGCTTGCTTAAGACAGCTGCAAAGAAATGCAAATTTACGAAGATGGTGGCTGGAATCGTGTAGTCCTTGACTCAGACCCACTTGTAACTTTTTACAATTAAATTATATGCTTTGAGCATGGTTCTTTTCAATGATATGTTAAAAGATTTAGATGTACTTAGTATGTACATGAGTACAACTATTTAAAATATTTCTGGAGTACCTACGTGTAAGGAGAAGAGTCCAATCCATCAAATTAAACATTCTTAAACATCCTAAATATGCCACTGTGGAACAATGTAATTTCTTGCTGGTTTTTCCTTTGCAGTGGTATCAGCAGCTTTGAAGAATATGATCTTTTTCTGTACATTCCTAAATTTCCTGCACTATTTAACAAAGAAAAATTCCTCTCTCTCCTGGAAATCTACAGCATGGTATAAACACTCCAAAAATAATATCTACAAGAGTTATAATTTTAATAAAGAACATGTCATTGTGGGAGGGGGAGGAGCGTAAAAAAAGAGAAAGAGTTAAGTTGAAATAGAAGAAATAAATCACATATTCACTAAAAGACAATATTATGTTAGATTCTTGCAAACATAATTATTCTGTGCACTCAAAACTATGATACAAGTAAAAAAAAAAAAAAAAAAAAAAAAAAAAAATGTTCTGAACCAAAAAAAAAAAGGAAGAAGAAGGAAATATTCAATATGTGTGAGTTTAGAGGTCTAGAGACGTACAACTAGGTCCAATGTGGACATGAGTTATTAGCGGGGGAGGGTCAACAAAAAATTCTTGCTACATGGACAGCTGTGCCTGGGGGACATGGACCCGCTTCAAGTTCTCTAATTTGTTTGCTAATTTTTTGTCTCTTTCCTCAGAGATTTACTCACATGCATGTCCAAATTTCAAAGCGATGCTTTGGGGTATAGATTTCCATTTTTTCTCAGGTGATCGATGCACGCATGCATGCATGCCGCACATTTGCCAAGATAATTCACCCGCACCGGCTATATGACAGGCACAATGTTTTTTCCTACTCTCTGTGCTGTAGTGAGAGTCGGTGTGTCATTGTTACACATTTTTTCTTGAAAAACAGTTATGTGTTTTAGATGGAGGAGAGAGAGAGAGAGAGAGAGAGAGAGAGAGAGAGAGAGAGAGATGAGAGAGAGAAGAATTTGAAGAGCAGAAAGAGATATTTGAATAAATTGTAACAATTATTCAAATTAAGAGTTTATTTCATTTATGTTATTTTTTGTTGTCATTCATATTTGAACCAAATTTAGGTGAATTTGGCGTGTCCTAGTGGGAAAAGTAAAAGAAGGGTCCAGAGAAAGAGGGAAAATAAAGAAATTAAGGGATGTCAAGGCAGTGAGGAAGGAGAAAGAGAGAAGGGGGGGGGGGGAGAAAGGACAGAGAGAGAGAGAGAGAGAGAGAAAGAGAGAGGAAAGAGAAATGAGAGAGTAAGGAAGGGGAGAGAAGAGGAAAAAGAGAATGAAAGGACGTATGAGAGATAGAGGGAAAGGTAGGAGAAATGGGAAAAAGAGGGGAGAGGAGAACGGGACAATGGACAAGACAAATTCAACCATTGTTCATAGCATTTGTGTACATGGGAAGGAAAATGATGGACATATATGACAATGATCGAATCACGGCATAAAAATAAAAATACTCCAGATAATCAGTGGATGGTAGGAGTGAAAAATAGCGCCAGAATCAAAACATGAACAGGTGGGTGGGTAGACAGCTAAGCTCAGACCTTGGCATTGGGGTAGGTTGCACAGGGATCTGTTCCAAGATGTGGGGTGTAAATTTCACAATTTCCATTATACACAGATTAATGAATTTACGCAAGGCCTGTCACTTATGGTATATGTCAAACTTTTAACCCCAAATTCGCTGTTAATTGTCACAAACAGCTGAGAATATATTGTCCATTTGTACAAAGACATTTTTGGCTGTTATCACATTGTATTTGCATCATCATTATATTTGTTATTGTATTATTAAGTGCAATCCTTGATTTAAACTCCATAGAATAGATGAAACATATAATACACAACATTAAAAAAAATGTTGATCAATTGTAACATTTGATTATTCCTGGGTATATTAATTTACTTGCAGAGTATAGGCCTATCTAGTATTGTGAGGCATTACATACAATTTCACGTGGCAAGCAAGGAGCTCAGACATAGGTCCTTCTATGTGTTTGTGTTTGTTGTTCCTTGCACTGTTCTGCAGTACCTTGTGCAAAGGGGTCCAGATCAATAACAAGCCTTTGATTTGGTGCTCGACACGTGCCAATTGTTGTGTAGTTTAAACACAATTCAATGGATGCCTATTGTTCAGGTATAACCTCAAAAAGGGGAGGAAACTGGCCCCAAACTCTGCCCATTCACTCTATTTTCCTTTGTCCCCCTTATTTCCCGCCCATCTACCAAATGTTGTGGTGTCTCTGATGGTCTTGTATTGATCACTGGTGCCCCCTCTTTGCTCATCTTTTAACCCCATTCAGACCAGGGGAAATAATACTAAATTTTTTTCAAGAAATGTTGTGTAAAGTCTCTTTGTATATAAAATGGGCACACACACTATACAGGCATCTTATATAAAGGAATGACTTTGAAGAAAATATTTTGAAGTCAGCATACACCATGTTTACTATTGGCCTAAGTCATGGTCATGATTGCTTGTTTGATACATGAAGTTCATGGGCAATGGGCTCTGACTGTTAATAATAATAATAATAATATAAATATTTATATAGTTCAAAACAAGGCTCAAACCTTACATTTTGTTGTACAATATTTTATTGATTGACCTTCAGGCTAGAAAAAAAAATCATATTGAATTTAATTTAATAGCTATCCAGTTTTTATATACGGGTAGCTCAACAATAAATTTTGCTTGTCTGAATGGGGTGTTTGAGGTATTGAGAAAGAGAGCAAATTCCGACACTTTGATTAGAGTTGGTCGCGTGCTGTCCCAGCCATGCACCTGTTTGCTAACACAGGCATGAATACAATAATTCCACAACTTTTCTTTGTCTTATTGTCTGTCTATTTTGCGCCTTGGCACTACTAGGGATACCTATACAGGCTGGTAAATGGAAATCAATTGATCCCTTCATTTTGAAGTGTTTGCATACAATTTGCCATCTTGCGTGTGCTGGACATGCTATACTGGATAGATGAGCTTTCTTTGTTGCATTCATCCTCTTGATAAACTCCTGTTGTGTAGAAAATTTTATAATTAACAGCTAGTTTCAGTGAGCAATATTTCATTGAAGGAAATAACCATCATTTGTCATTTTTATCACTACCAATTTGAATTTTGAAAGTGGGATTGGATGTAATAATCAGTTTGTTGTTGTGATTTAACAATAATGATATTGAAATTTCTTTCCAAATGTTAAATTGGACCTTGAATAAAAAGTGAACAAAGTGTCAGATAATGAATATTTATTTCACAATAAGAAAGACATAAGTTTTGATACATTTTCCTCCTTTAGTAAAAACATAGAAGCTTACAATAACAAATTTAGCTCTGAAAAAAATCTTACAGATTCTATTACTGCTATTTGAAGAAAAAAAATGTAATTAACATTTTCCATTTTGGAACAAGACAAACACAGGCCTTAATTCTAATTAAATATTTTCATTTTACTGCCAAGTTATCCTATCTGCTATGGAGATAACATGATAGAAATACCCCTACATCCTTTCTGTGTATTGGTGCAGAAAGATGTTTATATAAACACTTGGCTTCCACCTGCCTCGTTCATTTGTGTTATCATCTGATCCAGTTGCTGCCCTATATTTCATCCATTGTTTAAAATAACACAGCGCTGGCTGGTCAGTGGTAGAGTTCATCTTGTGGTCTCCATTTTGTGGTTTTTTTACAATTTTTATGAATTTTACTTCTTCAGATGGAGGTTTGAATTATAGGCTTATCGAGGGAATTAATTTTTCATTGCTGTGCAGCAGGGATAATATGTGTGTAAACTTGAATTGGATTTGGGTAGATTTAGAAAAAAAAAGAAAACTCTGAATTGCTATCGGTTAACATTGGCCTATACACCATTGGAAGTCCCATTTGTTTGGTTTCAAAGCTAGCAAACAATATTATCGATGTTATCAATGTATATTTTCCCATAAACCTTAAGCATTTTTTGGTGACAAAGGAACGTTCAGTTTACAGCTGTAAAAGTAAGAAGTACAAGCTATTTGATCCCTTTTGTTATGGACCA